TTTGGATGAAGAGCTCCTCAGAATGAGCAGTCCCTACAGGAGAAAATCGCCTGAACTCCAAAGCAGATTTAGGAAAAGATCAAATCCTCTGCCCCTTACCTCAAGGAAACTGGCAACTCTACAAGAAAATGACAATGGAATGGGCTGTAGTTGCAACAGTGAAGAGCCTTTCACCAGGAATATATACTAGTGTGTCTTTACCCGAATGCACAAGCCAAATAGATAGGCAAAAGTGTCAACAAGCAGAAAATGTGGAACAGTTAAGTTCCTGGGCAATTCAAAGCAGGGGCCACTTCGTACCTTAAAGGAAACTAAGAATAAACAACATGTCTCTGACCCAGACAGAAGCCACAACCTCAATGCATGGTTGTCTCGTTTGGGCTTGTGTGTGTGTTATGGTTTGTTTGTGTGTGTTTGTTTAAGTGACACTGTTTTTCTTCTGTCTGGTAATTTTGCAGTTACCACATAATGCTAAATTGGAGATAGAGATATAGGATATTATAATCTATGCCAGGATGTGACTTTTTGCTCCAGAACTTTCTATGGCTATCTTGTACTTGCTTTGATAATAAATACTCTAAAGTGCATGATACCCTGATTGATTTGTGGGGGAGAATTTAAAAGTAATATGAACCTGCTGGGCATGGGGGCTCAAGTCTGTAATCCCAGCACTTTGAGAGGCCGAGGCGGGTAGATCACGAGATCAAGAGATCGAGACCATCCTGGTCAACATGGTGAAACCCCGTCTCTACTAAAAATACAAAAAATTAGCTGGGCATGGTGGCACGTGCCTGTAATCCCAGCCACTCAGGAGGCTGAGGCAGGAGAATTGCCTGAACCCAGAAGGCGGAGGTTGCAGTGAGCCGAGATCACACCTTTGCACTCCAACCTGGGTAACAAGAGCGAAACTCCGTCTCAAAAAAAAAAAAAAAAAAAGTAATATGAACCTAAACTTGCAACTAAACTTTGCCTTAACCTAAATATACTGTTGTTTTACAATCTCTTACTGATCTTAGGTAATATTATAAAAGTTGTGTGAACCCACAGAAAGTATCACACTCAAGGCTTTGGTAAACTTTCAATGTTTCACTTGGTCCTTGCTCAGTCTGTGGCCTCTGAAGCATCATAAAGAAAAACACTAGTTGCCAATACAACCAGTTTGAGTTTATGAAAGGTCACAAGTCTATGATGTGTAAAGGAGATAAATGATATAAAATATTCCAGAAAAAAAAGCCATACATGCTAAGTGAATCCATTAAATAGTCCTCAAATACAAAAATGTTTTCTGGAGACACCTGGTCCGTTGCCTCTGCTCCCTACACCTGGGATTGGAAACATGCTGACTTTGCATTTGGTTCCTGAACCAAGAAAGCCTAAAGTTTTTAACCACGTCCTGAAATGGAAGAATAATTGTTAGAATCAGATATTCTCAAAAGGTGTTTCAAAGCCCAGCTTTTAAAAGAGCGATGCTTGCAGGCAAGAACAAACTTTCAAATCTAGCAAGATTCTACCCTGGATGCGAGTGCTGTTGGCTGTCATATGTTCCCATCAGTGTTTCTGGGGAAATAGACACTGCTGAAATTTGATGGTCTCTCCTTCTGGGTGGCTATCTCATGGTCTTATTTAATTTAATACATCTGGTAGGTACTTGTATCTACAGCTAGCAGTCTAGAATTTAACTTTACAGTAAGTGTAGTTTGGTCTCTTGCTACAAATCTTTCCCAAAATAATGTATCTTTTCAGGAACAATGATAGGCTGACCTTAAACTTTTCAGGAACAATGATAGGCTGACCTTAAACTTCTCAGGAACACTGTATCTTTTAATTAAATGGGCACTACATACAGAATAATAAGAAAAAGTTTGAAACCAGAAAATGTTAAATACAGGAAATATGACGCTGCGATATATTCAGGGACTTACAGCACCCATGTGTACTTTAAAAAAAAAACAAATTACTTACAAAGAGGTATAAAAATCTTATACCTAATACCTTCTAATAATACTCTTAAGGTGATGCTTTGAGAAAGGTATAAGAATTAGGATCTCAAGAATTCGGAAGCTGAGCTATAAAAGTATTTTAGAATTTTATAAAGCTGACCTCTGCACAAGTCAAGCAAAGAGTTCATTTAAAAATAATTCTGGCAAATTTTGTTGTAAAATTGAAATACAGTTGATGAAAAGATACATTTCTTAAAAATCAAGAATGAGGAGAGTGACAGCATTAAAGAATTGGAAGCAAGCATTGTAAACAGATCTGCAGGTGAGAGGAAAAGCTTCCTCCCAACCATCCCTGACAGCCCAGTCTTCAGGACTGCCAAAAAAATCCTACAGCCCTGATATGAGCTACCAAGGAAAGTCCACAAGCCATTTAACAAAGTAGAGTAGGAGCACAGGGAGAGGCCAAGTCAACCAGAAAAGGCAGCTACTATAGAAGCAGGAAAATAAGAACTTTAAACACAATTTAGTAGAAACACCTGAGAAGGTTAAAAATTGGAGTGCAGATAAAGGTTTGAAACCAAAAGAAATGATATCCGACATTTTGAGAACCCATAAAAGAATTATAAAAGAGAATAATCACAACTGAATCATGGAGCCGGTGGATAAAATAGAGCAGTCACACATCATTAAGCCAAAATACAAAGAAATATAAATTCTTTTTTTTTTTTTTTTTTGAAATAAGGTCTTGCTGTGTCACCCAGCCTGGAGAGCAATGGCCCCATCATGGCTCACTATAGTCTCAATCTTTGGGGTTCAAATGATCGTCCTACCTCAGCCTCCCAAGTAGATGGAGCCACAGATATGTGCCATGATGAGGTCTTTCTAACTTTCCCAGGCTGGTCTTAAACACCTGGGCTCCAAGCAGTCTTCCTGCCTTGGCTTCCAAAAGTGTTAGAAATACAGACATGAGCCACCGCGGCCAGCTTGACTTGACTTTTCTAACAGCATCGCTCTGATGTCTTCCTTGAGAACAGATGCAGAGGAGCAAAGACATAAGTATGAGATCACTTAGGGGGCTGCTGCAACGGAAGCTGTCACCTAGTGAGAGAAGATGGTGCTTTGGAGCAGAGCAATGGTTGTCAGCATGGAGAGGAAAGGTCAAGTTTGGAAGATGTTTTAAAGATACAGCCAGCATGAATTGCAGATAGACGTGATTGTGGGTTTGGAGAAAGTTATCAAGGGAAGTAACAGGGCTTTGGGTTTGAACAGCTTGAAAGATGGAGGTACTAGTTAGACAGATGGAGAAAATGGTGACTGGAGAGGGACAAGAAGCAAAGCAAATTAAATGCTTTGCCCTTGCGAAGTTGGAGCTGCGTGAGGAAGTGCTCAGCTGCCTTGGTTCACGTCCTGGCCTGGCCATTCACTGGTACTGTGGCTGCAGTTTCCTCATGTGAAAAACAAACAAACAAACAAAAAAAAAAAAAAAACCCCTATCTTCTGGACCTTTTAAGAAGCTGGAATGAGTTAATTTTTATTAAGTGCTTATGACAGCATCTTGTAGATAGTGTTCATCAACTAAGTAAACATCGAAGAGTAATGCAAGGGAAATTGAGGTGCTGTTTCAAGAATACACATATATTTAAATTTTTAAAAATGCACTCTAGTGGATCACTACAGGCAGACAGGAAGGAAAGGGAGAAACAGAGATAAATAGGGAGAGAGAGAGAGACAATAAGACGAAATAAATATATAGAAGTAGGATGTTATAAGGGAGTGGCATGTGTTTTATTCACTGCCGAAGCTCCAAGACCTGAAAATGTCTACAACATGCACTGAGCACAAAAGCGAATAAAGAATTGAATGAATGAACAAATGAACTGAGGAGTTCATCTCATTTCTGTGCCTTGTGGAACCTATAAAAAAATTCATGCACATACATTTAGCCTGGTTCCGAATTCTGAAAATCAAGGAAAAAACTGTACAAGCGTCCAAATAGAAAGAACTGTTATTTTAAAAGGAAAGAAGTTCAGGCTAGCATAGGACATCTCATCGGTAATTTTGGAAGCCAAAAGCAATAGACTTAGGTTAGAAATCATGACGAAAATAGAATGCCAATTCAGCAATCCTACATGCAGCTGAAACAGTGATCATATGTTTGAAACAGTGATCAAAGTAAAAGAATGACAGTAAAAATACATTTATGGCCTTTTGTTGAGAAATTCTAGGAAATACTCTAATGATATAAAAATTAAATCAAAACAAAAATTTCTAAATAGCAAGGGATGTTGAATCAAAGCAATAACAGTAATGCCTAAATTAAGGTTTAGTTTACATTGAAAGGGATTATGTTAATATGACACAATACAATGCTTGTTAAAAGAATATTCAAAATGAAAAAAAGTAAATTTCAAAGAAACACTTAATATTGGCCTGGAACTTGAAATATAACTCTTAATAACACCTAGTTGTTATCAGGGGTGCTGAGGCACTGGGAAGTTAAACTTCTTGGCTGGACAGAAAGATGCATAGTTATAATTTAATTTTGGAAAGTTGGTCTAGCAGCGTTTTTTTAAATTTAAAATGCTCATATTGTTTGAATTAGCTCAGTTTGATGCACTTGTTTTTTTAATAGCAACAAAAGAAAATAGTAAAACAGTCTAAACTTTTATTTCAGATTTATATATCAGTAGACATATATATTTAACAAGATGTTAAATAGAATGAACTGGTTCTTTCTATATAGACACAGAATGATGTCAGTAATATCATTCCCAAGGAGAGGAAAAACATTTATGGATTATTTAAAAATATATAATTATGTATTTTAAAATATTGTATATCAATAATATATTGTTAAGAAAACATTCGCAGAGTATTTAAAAATATCATACATAGGGACACACGTACATATGTTTATGTAATCATGGAAAATAGGTAGGGAATGGAATACTCCAATTCTCAATATTGTTTACTTAGATAGTGAGATTGAAACTCAAAAAACAAACAAAAAAATTAAACAACAACAAAAGAAAATAATAAAAATTTTTGCAATATTTTTACCTGGGTGATGAAATTATGGGTGAGTTTTATTTACTTTTCCATCTCTAGGACACATTTTAAATTCCTTTCTTTGAGAATGTTTCACTTCCATCCCTAGAAAAAAATTTTTAATAAATGTATTGTTTATAAATTGAGTTTCATTTAAAAATTGTTAGTGAATAATTATCAATAAATTTGTATTATTTGTGTTTCTTTGGCTTGTATAATTCTTTGCATTATTTATCTATTTTACCTTTGTACTAAAATCATACTTTTGCTAAATTTCTGAACTGAACTCATTTCCTGTTTTTGTTCCATTATAAAAATTTGGGAACAAAATGTAAAATAGGCAATAATAATTTTATTCCAAAACTATACTTGCAGCTCTCTAATTTATCCAGTATTTTTAATGAACATACTAAAAATACTTTGGAAAAATACTTATTTTTAAAGGGTGAGAGAGACCAGGGTCAGGGGAACTTTTTTTTTTTTTTGAGACGGAGTCTCACTCTGTCACCCAGGGTGGAGTGCAGTGAAACGATCTTGGCTCATGCAACCTCCGCTTCCTGGATTCAAGTGATTCTCCTGCATCAGCCTCCTGAATAGTTGGGATTACAGGTGCCCACCACCACACTGGCTAATTGTTTTACTTTATTTTTTCAGTAGAGATGGGGTTTCACCATAGTGACCAGGCTGGTCTCAAACTCCTGACCTCATGATTTGCCTGCCTCAGCCTCCCAAAGTACTGGGATTACAGACGTGAGTCACCATGCCTGGCCAAAACATCACTTTTAAATGTTTAAATCATGGTTCTTGAGATGCAGCATTGCTGGAAGTGAGCCATTTCTGTTTCAAAGAAACAGGAAATAGGACAAAATGTATTTGTTTGCTCTTACATCAACACAGGCCAACAAATAGAGTAAAACAGTCACCAGCAGTATTATGGTAAGTGTACTATACATGAAAGTGTTTCTGCTATTTTGACATGCATAAAGTAGTATGACTCAGATTTAGGCAATATAGCTAAAAGGTTCTTAAGTTAATTGATCTAACATATGATCGTGTATACACATACACACTGAATTTGGTTTAAATTGAAAGGGTTTATTTTAATATGACACAATACATTTGGAAATGTACTGAGAGTTTTCCTACCAAGTATATTTGCACAAATAATATTTGTGCAAAAAGATTATGGTTTTGTAGTTTAGTTTTGTATAGAATAACAATAAGACATATTGTAATTACAGAACCTATAAAAATGTCTATAAAGACTGCTTATATAATGTTAAAACTAGACAATGTACACAGCATAGAATTTCCTTTTTCATTAACAAGATAAGATTCTTTTTTAAGTTTCAACTTTTCAAATGTCCTAGCTTCCTATAAATGAATTTTTAATGAAAGAGAAACAACACTTTTTTAAAAGACATGTAAAGCAAGCTATTTAAAAATATATGCCAATTCTTTTAGCTTCTCTTACTAAAGTGGCTATTAAGCAGCTAAATTACAGAAAATCCTTGTTAATCTTCACGCTAAACAATCCTAAATTTTAACAGAGGAATAAGTACCAAGCCATCGATACATCTCATTATCTTTAGCATTCTTCCTGTAAAATACTACTCTAGGCCTTCGGGTTAGTCTCTAGGATTTGGTTTGGCTGTTCAGTGAATTCAGACCTACCTGCTCAGGTAAGAGTAAACACAGTCAGTGGATGAGCAGACAGCAGAAACACTGCCTTTGGGATCAGTCTGCAGCAGTCTTCTGTATACCTGCAGCTGGCTGGAGCCCACGGCTGCTCTATTATAGGCCACTTAACATAGACCGAATGACGCAAACATTAAAATCCAAAAAAGGATAAGCTGATAATAAATCTTTCTGAAACAAGCTAACAATATGTTATCAAGAAATATAACTGGGAGGAGTTTTCATTCTGAACCAGCATCAGGAAGCTAGCAGTGAGCAAGCTAAATGGAGAAAGTAAATATTATCACTACTTTAAAAATAATTCCAAGCATGGGCCACCAGGAACCACAGTGATGCATTAACAGTATATAAATGAAAACACATGTCCATTAAAACTGACTTAATTGTTGATTGAATTGAAAGAAAAGTACTTCTCTATTAGACATCTGTACAAAGAAAATAACTAGCATTTAAAAAATAATTTGCTTTCAAAAGAGATGACTTGTACCCAACAAATGAATATTTTTTAAAAATAGAATGTACACAACCCTAATAACATATTATGGTGCCGGGCGTGGTGGCTCACGCCTGTAATCCCAGCACTTTGGGAGGCCGAGGCGGGTGGATCACAAGGTCAAGAGATTGAGACCATCCTGGTCAACATGGTGAAACCCCGTCTCTACTAAAAATACAAAAAGTTAGCTGGGCATGGTGGTGCATGCCTGTAATCCCAGCTACTCAGGAGGCTGAGGCAGGAGAATTGCCTGAACCCGCTGAGGCGGAGGTTGCGGTGAGCCGAGATCGCGCCATTGCACTCCAGCCTGGGTAACAAGAGCAAAACTCTGTCTCAAAAAAAAAAAAAAAAAAAAAAAAATTATGGTTAGAAAATACCTCAAAGCAATGGCTTTCAAGCTATTTTTGCACCACAACTATAGGAAGAAATCCATTTTATATTCTTATTCAGTACACATGTAGGTAGGGACTCATAACAAAAGCAAAAGTTTTAGTTAAAAAATATCCTTACTTTTGTTTAAGTCACTCTGATATTTCCTATTTTATTCTATTTCTTTTTTTTAATAAATGGAAATTACAGTCCAATAATGTCATTACAGGCACCTGCCACCATGCCCAGCTAATTTTTGTATTTTTTTAGTAGAGATGAGGTTTCACCACATTGACTAGGCTGTTCTTGAACTCCTGACCTCAGATGATCCATCCCAAAGTGCTGGGATTATAGGTATGAGCCACCATACTTAGCCTATCTTATCCGTTTTTACATTTAGACTTTTGAATACAATAAAGTTTGATAAAAAAAAATTTAAAAATAGAAAAGAAAAAACTGAAGTAAGAATAAAGCAAAGAATGATGATAGGGAAACAAGAACATGAAAAATTAAGTATAAAAAATATTTATATATAAAACTTCTAAAATTATCCTCTCTACATGGAGCCAGATCCTCCAACATGGCAAAATGAAGAGCTGGACAAGGGCAGTTTCTCTTCCATTTCTATCTGTTACTCTGCATAGGATTAAAGGATTGTTATGACACATTGATTATAGGTCTCAGTTCTCACTCTCCTAACATCCACACCCTGTCTTTTCTTCATTGGGTGTAGAAAGTACTTTTTTTGCCCTTTGAATCTGAACTGTGCCATTTGACATGTCTTGGGCAAAAGAATGTGAACAGAAATAAAAATGCGCCAGTTCCAAACTTAGTCTTTGGGAGGACATGTTTATGAGTGTGCGTTATCCTGTCACCAGGAATACAACATACCCAGCTAAGCCACTTGTCCAAGAAAGATGACAGACATGTGGAATAGACTGAGGCATGGAGACCTGCAGCACATGGCAGTCACCCTAGCTGACCCCATAGATTCATGAGCATAAGTTGCTATTATTTTAAGCCATAGGGTTTTGATGTCATTTGTTGCATGGCATGATCAAAGCAATAATTAAAGGGATCAATTGTATTTCTGAAGGAAGCCATGGAGATCTGCTGCCCCATGCTCCTGCCTTGGGATCACTAGTGAAACACTGATACCCCACAATGGGTCAACTGTGATCTAAATAGCCATTGCTAAAAGCAGTGATAGAACATGCAAAAGGGCATATAGTGAAGTTACCCTTTACTAAGTGAACTGCACTATTGCTTTAGAAGTTTCCAGATATTAAAGGTTGGTTCAAGAAGTAATAGCCAAGTTTAGTTCTTATTAACAATACATAGAAAATGCCATTCACTTTTATCAAAATGAGTTTAATGTTGCCTGAATCACACATATACTTGTCTTACTGTAACTCAGTCTTCTTTGCTGGCAAGCACAATACCTCATGTATTAGAGTTTATTAAGCTCTAGGAAATAAAGGCTCTTGTCTGCTTTGCTCATTACTTTCTCCCCATGGCTTAAAACAGTGTTTGGCAAACCATAGATGCTTAATACGTATTGACATACTTAATAATACTGAATTACTGGATAAATTAATTATTCATTTTTAAAAGCCTTTAAATCAAAGGATTACATGGATATGGAAATCTCTTAGTTTCACTGTGTTAATTACAAACCTGCACAGACAGTAAATCTTCTCTTCATGTCCTGCTCTTTCTTTTAAATGGAAAACTTATTTAATTAGATAATGATTTTTTCTTCTAAGGAATATATAGTTAATAATAAGATTAACACACAACTAAATATTTATTGTACCATAGAGGGGTTGCTAAATGGAAATATAAAGGCTGTATTATGGGAGACAAGAAGGATTTGGAAACCCTACCTGGCAGACAGGACAGACTTCATGCCTGTGGTCACATATAAGCTGAATCTGCAAAGACAATCCTTGAAGACTTCTCAAACCAGCTAAATTTAGAATAGGAAAATACACACAAAACTTTTTAGTTTCAATAAACTAATTTCACAGTGGACAATTAAAGTCTTTTAGTTAGTAACAATCCTGTTTTTAAATGCTATTCTTATTCCAGCATATTTCTTTTAATCGACAAAATTGTCTTGATTAGAAAAGTGCGCATTAGAAGTAAAGCATCTTTGTCCTTTCTTTAAACACACACACACACACACACACACACACAAACACACCCCTTTTCAGGTGTTTTTCAACACCAAAAACAATGGCCACAAAAGCCAACATAGAAAAATGGGATCTAATTAAACTTCAGAGCTTCTGCACAGCAAAAGAAATAAGCATTAGAGTGAACCAGCAAACAACAGAAAAAATTTTTGCAAGCTACCCATCTGACAAAGGGCTAACATCCAGAATCTACAAAGAACTAAAACAAGTTTACCAGAAGAAAATAAACAACCCCATCAAAAAGTGGCAAAGAATATGAACAGACACTTTTCAAAAGAAGACATTTATGCAGCCAACAAACATATGAAAAAAATGTTCATCATCACTGGTCATTACAGAAATGTAAATCAAAACCATATTGAGATACCATCTCACGCCAGTTAGAATGGTGGTCATTAAAAAATCTGGAGACAACAGATGCTGGAGAGGATGTGGAGAAATAGGAAAGCTTTTACACTGTTGGTGGGAATATAAATTAGTTCAACCATTGTGGAAGATAGTATGGTGATTCCTCAAGGATCTAGAAATAGAAATACCATTTGACCCAGCAATCCCATTACTGGGTATACACCCAAAGGATTATAAATCATTCTATTATAAAGACACATGCACACATATGTTCACCGCAGCACTGTTTACAATAGCAGAGACCTGGAACCAACCCAAATACCCATCAATGATAGACTGGATAAAGAAAATGTGGCACACATACACCATGGAATACTATGCAGACATAAAAAAGGATGAGTTCATGTCCTTTGTGGGGACATGGATGAATCTGGAAACCATCATTCTCAGCAAACTGACACAGGAACAGAAAACCAAGCACTGCATGTTCTCACTCATAGATGAGTTGAGAACACATGGACACAGGGAGGGGAACATCACACACTGGGATCTGTTGGGAGTGGGGCAATAAGAGAGGGATAGCTGGGGTTGGAAAGATTGGGGAGGGATAACTTGGGATAAATACCTAATGTAGGTGATGGAAGGTGGAGGCAACAAACCACCATGGCATTGAAATAACCAAGACAGTCACAGAAGAAGCGCCACGCTCTGTGTTCAAATTACGAGTCCTTTATTCAGCCAGCGATGGAGAGTCAGCTAATGCTCAAAATCTCTCGGCCCCCAAGGAGGAGGACTGATTAACTTTTATACCTTTATTTAGGCAGGGGAGGGGGTACCTAGCTGAAGCAGAATTTTACAGAAGCTAAAAGAGTAGGTTAGAGGAAGGGGCTGTGGGTACGGGTGTTTTCCATACAATTACCAAGAAGGGGTGTTCAGGCACCTTCTACACAATGATTAAAGGGGAAAATTTTTCTTCACAATAGCAAGGGGGTAGCCAAGCAGCATGAGGTTACAATGGTTACAAGTGTTAAGAACAGTATGCTTCCAACTTTGAGGCTTCAAAGCTTCTAAGTGCAGCCTGACCCAGTTATGTACCCGAGCAGGGGATATGGTAGGGAAGAGGGAGCTGGGCCGGAGCTAACAGCCAAGATGGAGTCAGTTGGGTCAGCACAAGGTAGGTTATGACATTCCCTACTTGTGTTTTTGGGGCGTCAAAGCATTGACTCTCCAGTTACAAGGGGGTTAGAATGTCTTCAAAGATACACAAGTTTGACAGAATTTGTGTGCTGTCTCATGAAAGCAAGGAGCCAGTTTAGTATGCAGGGGCCAATGATTAAACCAGGAGGAGAAGAGGTCCTGCTAGCCCAGTTATTAAGGTGGTTAGCCATGGGCTCCTGATAAACATGTTTTGGAACCATGAGGCATTCTTTTCCAGCTCTCGTTGGCATCTATCTAAATTGTCCTGGACCTTTTGAAAAGTGTCCTTTATGACCCCGGACTTGTTAGCATAAAAGCAACAACTTTCTCTCAGTGCTGCACGTAAGCCTCCCTGAGAGAGGAACACTAGATCTAATCCTCGGCGGTTTTGGAGAACTTCTTCAGACAAGGATTCCATCTGGGCATGTAACATTTTTATGGAAGACTGGGTATTTCTTAAATCAGAGTCTACCTGTTGAGCTAGGGATATTCGTCCAGTTTCCCCTTTACCAGGGCTGCAGTGCCAATGGCTGCCGATCCAGCCATGCTGAGACCGGCTAGGATAGGCACAATGAGGGGGACACCTCGACAAAACCTGGAGCATAGCCCCAGAAGAGCGAGGAGATGTTGTCCTTCTGGTCCGCTGTACACGTAGACCTGGGGAAGCATGTGGAGTAGCATGCACAGGGCAGGACCAGGTTCAGTCTCATTCATGCAGCGGGTAAGGCCTGAGGTGCAGGCCAGCCAAGTGTTGTTGAGTGCCTGGTAGGAGACAGAGGTGTTTAAGATAGTAAGCAGATACTGGTTACAGGTAGAATGGACATTAGGCTGGGCTGGAGATGCTCATGCTGAATCTGAGATGGGGGAGCTTGGACTGGCGATGGGGCCGTTGAGCTGGCTGATTTGGGTGGACTGACTAAGCTGACTTGGTTATGGTGTAGACGGAGCATGAGGTCACCCAAATCAGTTAAGGATCTGACTTGCTTCGGCTGTCTCCAGGGGACTAGAAGTTTCTTTTGGATGGTGAACGTAGATCCAAGGTCAAAACCTGTCATATACAGTCTAAATCCCCAAGACATACCATAATATCAATAAGCTAGATCGGGGTTGTGGACAGTTAAGACAGTAGGGTTGCAGTTTCCCTTAGAACACCGCCAGCCTGGATCAGGTCCGTGAGCTATGGAGAGGGCTGAGGATTGGGTTGGTCCTCCAGAATAGGTTGCCAGGGTTACACAAGGCCAGTAAGGGCAGAAGAACTCATACTGCTGTTAGCAGCTAGCATCCAGGTGGTCTCCCAGACACAGGTAGAAGTCAATTGACCGCATCCTTTCCTCTGTCTCATCTGATTTTCCACATCCAGTATATCCGTGTGCAAATCCTGCAGCGAAGTTGGCAGCACCTGCTCCGAGGCTGACAAATTGCTCATGTGACAAATCTCAATTTGCGGAGTAGGAATTTGGGAACAGAGCACACATATCAAATTTAAGAATGACACGGTTGGATGTACCTGCTCTCCATGAGGTATTTGCAAGCACACTCCCATTTCTGAAATCAGTGAGGAGGAAAGAATAGATGGAGGCAGAGGGCATAGCGGGAGGCAACAGGCAGACGGAGAGAAGGATAATGAGAACTAATTGGGGGGTGTTACCCGAGTTAGGCATAGTTTTAAAGGACCCGATCCAGGTTGTCAGACCCATATTTCTTCTTGCTGTTTATTGGCCTTCTTGATGCAAGAGTGGTGAATCCAAGCAGGGATGCCATCAACCTTCAGGGCCATTGGCGTGGTGAGGATGACGGTATAAGGTCCTTTCTAGGTCAGTGTGAGTCCTTCTTTCTGGAACTTTTTGACATACACCAGGTCACCAGGACAGAAGGGGTGGCAGGGCCCAGTTAGATCAGGAACTGGATTAGGGTGTGCTCCCCTAATGAGCAGTTGGATGATGTCTTGAACCTGTTGGAGAGACTGTAAATACTGTAAGAGATTTGCCTGGGATATTTCTGCCAAATGGGCATCCTTTAATCTGGGTAGTATAGGAGGTGCCCTTCCACACATGATTTCAAAAGGGGAGAAACCTGCCTTATAGGGAGTGCATCTAGCTCTAAGAAGGGCTAAAGGGAGGAGGTTTGACCAACCCTCACCGGTCTCCAAGATTAATTTTGTAAGAGTACTTTTCAAGGTCCAATTCATGCGTTCTACCTGTCCAGAGCTCCGGGGTCAACAGGCACAATGGAGCTTCCATTGACTGTTTAATGCCTTGCTGACTGATTGAGCTTATGGATGAGGTGAAGGCCAGCCCATTATCAGACTCTATAGCAAAAGGCAGCCCATGTCGAGGGATAATTCCATTGAGCAAGAATTTAACCACTGTAGATACAGTCTCATTCCTGGTGGCAAATGCCTCAGTCCATCCAGAAAAAGTGTCTAGGAGATACTTATATCCTGCCCAGTGGGGCTTTCCTTCTGTGAAGTCTATTTCCCATCTTTCTCCTGGGCTGTATCCTCGGGGACAATGGCCCAGTCCAGGCCTTGGGCCTTGTCTGGCATTTACCTGTGCACACGCTGTGCAGCAGGAGGCTGCTTGGTTGGTTAAGTCCTGAAGGTGGGGAATCTTAAACTGGCTTCTAAAAAGCTGGACCACTTTTATTCCCCCTAAATGGGTGGAAGAACGGGGACCACTTTTATTCCCCCTAAATGGGTGGAAGAACGGAGGTGACCGACCAAGGCCTTTCTGAGGGCATGGGGCAAGAAAATTCTGGAGCCCAGGAGAATCCATCCTGGTTTTTACTGGCCTGAAGATCTGATGATTGCTTTTCTTCTTCTGGAGAATGAACTGGATGATTGGATAAATCGGGCTGTGGGAAAGATAGAGCAGGCAGTAGGGTTAAAGGTGTGACCAGGAGCTGGGCTGCAGAGTCTGCTTTTTGATTTCTCCAGGTGACGACTGTCTTTTCCTTTTGATGCCCCCTGTAGGGGATGACAGTCACCTGAAGTGGGAGCCAAACTACCTTGAGGAGAGCCAGGATTTCTTCCTTGTTTTTGATAGTCTTTCCAGCTGAGTTGAGGAGCCCACGTTCTTGGTAAATAGCTCCATGAACATGTACAGTGGCAAAGGCATACCTGCTATTAGTGTAAATGATGCGTTTATTCTTATTCCACCAGAGGGCCTGAGTAAGGGCAATTAACTCAGCCTTTTGTGCCGAAATTCCAGCTGTCAGGGCCAGAGCC